GTGAGTGTGGATTGTGTGGTAGTTGTCCAGATTGCAGGTCAGGTCTATCAGAGACCCTCTACTGCTAAATCACAGGTTAATATTGTAATTTTTTTTTAGTTCTGGCATATGGGTTTTTAAAGTCACTGTTCGGTGGTTGCTTTGCGATCTGTTTTATCCCTGCTCTAATTGAAAGTTCTAACTTCTATGTAAGCCTTTTTTCTCTAGGCATGATAAAATAATTCAAGAGAATTCATTCTCTTGCTCTTTTGCCACAACAGTGCTGATTTTATGTTTAACCTTTATTAGTTTCTAAGTTTGTCGAGAAGACAGCTCCTACAGCTGTTTCTACTTCGGGAAAGGTTCATCAGCTTCTGGTCTTACAGCTCAGTGATCCGAGATAGCATTCTGTAAGTTCTTGATCTTCTGTGTTGATACAATTTATACTGCTTATTTTATTCTTTCCCCTACTTCATGGAAATTTGATAGATACCTATCCCAAGCCAACCAACCACAACAGAAATAGCAAGCAACATTGAATAAACCCAGAAACACAAGAATCAGTAGCCAAAATTCAGAAACACTAGCACTTATACTGATATTCCAGCAACACAAAATACACAGCAACAAAAACTTAACAAAACTACCAAAACAAGAAATCAAATAAACCATAAAACCAAAACAAGAAATCAAAGATAATTTTGGTCTTGGAGGCCAACTCCCCAGATAGTGCGCCAGCAACCTCCATTCTCCACTTTTTCTCTTTTGAAATCCTCTCAATCCCTTGTCTCTCCTTTTATGCTATTGACTTTTCAGTCACCCATCCCCTAATGCCATCGTCCCTCCTAAACAAACCACACGCACAAAGACCTTCTTTCCAGCTACCAAAACTTCTACTTTGCACCATTATGTCTCCTACCATAAACCCATATTAGGGTCTCATCAAATTATTTTCTTCCATTTGATTAATAAATCCTGTTACTTGAATTAATTAGTTTGTGACATCATTTCCTTCCAAATCAGCGTGAATTTTATCTTGGAGGGAGCCATGGTTTTGGCAGATGGTGGTGTTGTCTGCATTGATGAATTTAAAAATGAGATCAGAGGATAGGTAATTAAAGTATAATAGATTGAAAACTAATTTCTCTCTCATGATTATGGCTCCTTAAGAGTTTTTTTCTTTGTGTGGCTTAGGGTTGCTATTCATGAAGCCATGGAGCAGCAGAAATATCCATTGCAAAGCAGGAATAACAACTGTTCTCAATTCAAGAACCTCAGTTCTTGCTGCTGCTAACCCTCCATCAGGACGTTATGATGATCTTAAGGTCGTGCAGCATCGTTGACTTGAATTTGTTTCTCATTGTCATACTGTGGTTTCTGCTTAGTAACTACAAGTTTTCTCCTTCCAGACAGCCCAGATAAATTGATTTGCAGACAACCATTCTTTAATATTTGATTTAATTTTTATTGTTAAAGATGTCAGATGTACAGTCAGACAATAATATACCACACTTGCTCAGCTATTAAATTCCCTTAAATCGGTTTCTGAAATTAAATTTCTATTTGTGCAGCTTATTGCTAGCCTATCAAAATCCATGATCTGCAGATGCTGTCTCGGTGACAGCAAAGTTTCTAAAGAAGAGAATTGGCTGAAGAGGTAATTTATATCATTAACTCGGGCATATGTCTTTCACAAAGTGCTACTAAATATTATGTATTGCTCAACTGTGAGTTACATTTGGCAGGTATATACAATATTGTAGAGTTGAATGCCACCCGTTTATCAGAATCTGCACAGCAAAGCTTCAGGATCAGTATGTCCAAATAGAAAGGTATTCTTGAACTAGCTTATTCATAATTCTCTTTATTATTGAGCAGAAGTTTTCTTTCAAAACATTGCTACATTTTTATTGGAGAAACTTGGGATACCATCATATTCAATTCTGAGTAGTAGTTTGGGGTTTGAAATGGACATTTATTGGATGGTCAGAAAATTATATTGTGAATATCAAGTGTAGACTGTGGCCTAGTCTGCTTACCAATAAGCTATATCATGATTATGCTTGAGGACATGACGACGCAGGCAAATGAAACTGTGAGGCTCTGTAATACCCATTACTGTAAGGCAGCTTGAAGCTATGTAAGGTTAGCGAGGCACTTGCTAAAATGAACTGTAAGTACTGGCTTTAAACTTGAGATTTTAACAAAACTATCATAGCCATAGGTTTTCTCAAGTTTTTGTCTTCCCTATGTGGTTAGAATCCTATAACTGACTTGCATCTTTTATGACCTTATAGGTCCCGTGCGAATTGAAGTTAAAGCAGTAACTTTTTACTGTTTCCACAATGGAGCAGCACGTCTGGAATACATCAACAGTGAATCTTACGGGGAGATGGCTATGAAAAGGTGTCCATATGCATTATGATCTCATTCTTTTCCTTTCCAACCCCCCACCCCCCGACTTCCCATTAATCATTGGTTCCCTTTAAACATCAGCTGAAACCCAGATAAAGAGAAGACTAGGCATTGGAAACCAAATATCAGAGAGAAGATTGATCGATGATCTCAGCAGAATGGGCATGAATGAATCAATAGTAAGTATTTATTTCAATGTTCATGTCCTTTTACCTTCTAATCAGAGGAGAAAAGACATTATGAGTCTGTGACTTAACAATTGTTGTCAGGATGACTCACGTATTATTGGAGTATGCTGTTAGAGAAAAGTGTAGTTAAGAAATGATTCTCAGTAAAGTTTATACATTGTTACTTTGGCTGATTGTTCATTAGATAGATATCATTTTCACAGCTAAATCTCTTCTGAGTTAAAAGTTTTGGTGTTTGGACTGAGATTGATATTTACATTTTGGCAGGTAAGAAGAGCTCTTATAGTTATGCACCAGAGAGATGAAGTTGAATACAAACGAGAAAGGCGGGTTATTTTCAGGAAAGTTTAATCAAATCCTCTGTAAAATCCCTCAAAATGTATGTTATCAGTTTACAGTTAGTTTCTTAGTCTCATAGGACATGTTTTTAAGAAAGAAAAATTGTCCTTAATGATCGATGAAGGGTATTTTTGTCATTTCAGTTAGATGTTTTAACGATAAACAAATTAAAAAAAAAAAACCTTAATTAGTTATTGTGTATGTAGATTCTTTCATAAACTGAATTAGTCTTTCATGAAAGACTTACATGCATGAATTACCTTATTTGAATATAATGCACCAAACATTCAACAATGAGTGACATGATATTTTAAAGGAGTAGTACTTATCATTATTATGTATAAATTTTAATAAAATAATTACGAATATAATTTTAATGAATTATGAAATTCAAATTTCATGTATTTTTTTTTTATTTTAAATAAAATTATTTAAATATTTTTTAAAACATTTAGACCTAGCAAAGCGGGTTTATACTAAAAATGGGTACGGGTTACTAACGTAGGACCTGTTTATAAATTATCCCTACCTAATCTAACCTTTTTTTTCGGATGGATCGGGTATACCTGAGAGTGCGATAATTATAAAAAAAATTATATAATTCATTTTAAATTTTAAAATTATTTAATTACTTTTTGGATCATTTAATTTTTTGTTGATTGATGACTAAATTATTTTGGTAACCATTATTATGAAATATGATGTTTTACTTTTTGGATCATTTAATTTTTGGTTGATTGGAAAAGATTAAAATTAAAATTAACTTTAAAAAAAAAAAAAAGTACCTCCAAGTCCACCCGTTTTACCTGTACCCACGACAACCCAGTCCATGCACACTTGGCTTGCTCGTTTTGCCAGGTTTGAATTGAAATTTATAGGGTGTGTTTGTTTTATTATTTTGAGTAGTATTTTTAAAAAAGTTGAGTTTGATTATTATTACGATAATAGGATTTGAATTTGAAAATGTGTTTGATAAAAAAAATTTAATCCCCTACATTTGTTAATTTAGTTAAACACTCTCTACAATAAAAGTTTTAAAATTGACAAAAACAACCTTACCCACCCATTATTTATTTATTTATTTTAATGTGTATTGACTGTATTCATGTGTAATTATAATTTAGAACTTGAAAGGCAAATGAAAATTAATATATAAGCAGCCTATTAAGGGACATATGAAGCTTCATACATATATATATATATATTACTAACTACATAAAGATTTCCATTTGTTATATTTTCAAGCCATACAGATTAAAGTGCTTTATGGAAAAGCACTTATATACCAGTCGCTTTTCAAATCTAAATGGTCCAAATTAAAGTCAATTAATTAATTGCTAATTTACTATAATAATTACATATTTTATATAAATTATTTTATTGCTTTTGAACTTGTATAATCTTTATGCAAAGCAATCAGGATAAATTGGAAAATTGTTTTAAACTGATCTAATAGACTAATGGATTAAAATTATATTAATTTCTTATAAGTTATATTGTTGACATCTCCCACCCGAAGTTTTCCCGAACCACATTGACTACCAAAAAGTTGTAAAACGTCAATTACCCTACACCGTTAATTCGGTCCACTACTTAAACTGAAAAGATAAATAGTAAATTCAATATATATTATATACATCCTTGAATTATAAGGAATTAGAGATTCTGGATTTTTTTGCTGACATCATCATACTGATGTCAACATAATGGATCAGTTAAACTGTTTGACCTGGGAACATGCCACTAGCCGGGTCACTTTCCGGGTTCATTAACTTGAACGGAAGAAAGATAGAATAGTAAATTAAAAAACGTATATATATATATATATATATATATTTTTTTTTTTGAATTATAAGAAATTAGGATTCTGGATTTTTTTGCTGACATCATCATACTGATGTCAGCATAATGGATTGGTTAAACCGTCTGACCCGGCTAACTTTAAATTTTAATTGACACATAATTTTATAAAATGATACAAACACCCCTATTGATTAGATTAATTCTAAAAAGAGTCCCTAACAGGATCTTCTGGTACTTTCATTTTAATTTGTTGCAACGGTGGGTTTGATTCAAAAGTTAACCAAGTGGAGCTAGGGTTTAAGCGGAAACCATGTCAAGTAAATGGAGGTGGGCGGGGACGGAAGTGCCGATCATCGGTAGCGACTCCTTTAAATTTATTGAGATTTCGGTTTCTTCTTCTAGTAGTAATGTACAGTCACAGTCACATTCTAATTTTATTGCTCCTCGTGCTGATGGTTACGCTTCATGCGCTCTTGTTGGTGATCCTTCTCTCCATCTCATTTTGCGAATTCGCGAGAGTCTTCCTAATTCACTCGACCTACTCCCTTTCTCTTTTTCTAAGCCATTTCCCATTCTTGGTTTGCGAATCAATTTCCCTTGTAAACTGTCTTCTTTTGCTTTTCTTTTTGAACTCGCCCCCAATGTTTACTCGCTTTGTGTCTTATCCGTTTCTGGAATCGTTTTCATTCTCAAACTTTCTGCAAATTTCTCTGATTATGAAACCTATCCTATTTTTCCACAAGAAGACCTTTTACAGTTTAATTTGGTAAATTATGGAGACATTCCCATAACAAGTGCAGCCGCCACTTCTGGATGCCTGGTTGTGGGCAGAAATGATGGATCTGTTGCTTTTTTTCAACTTGCCACTCATCACCCCACCGCTCCTGGTATGCTATAAATGGTTTATTCTTTATCAACCATGAGTATGGTTATGATTAATTTCCAATTTTATTACCTGTTATGTTTTAGGTTTTGTGCAGGAGCTACGGGACGATTCAGGAATTGGTCGTTTGTGGGGTTTAATGTCAAGGTACTTGTACTTGTTTTTTTTTTTTTTTTTTAATTTAGTGGAACAATAACTTTGGTGATTTTTATATTGCTTAAGGTCATGTGATGCAGGGGTAGGATGGTAGGGGCTGTCCAGGATTTGGTTATAACAGAGGTGCAAGGGAAAATACTGGTGTATGTGCTTCATTCTGGTGGCATTTTTCGAGTATGGGATCTTTCTTCTCGGAGCAGAATATTTAGTCATACAATTACCAATCCATCAGTGGAAGGCAATGTCTATCGCTTCTCTTTTTCAGAATTGCAAATTAAAATATGTTTCCTTTATGTCTATGCCTTAGCTCTTGAACAAAAGGGTTTTATTTTTAAACACTTTGAATTATATGGTTAGCATGTATCGAGATTCAGATTTACTTTATAGATGATGTGGCTTGATGAACTTATCGTGAATAAGACAAAAATGCTAGAGCTCTTTGTTTTTCCACCCGAAATCACCAATGCACCATGAAAGTGGATATCCTCCAATTATTTATAACATCAAAGTGCTTTTTTTAAAGTTTTCAATTTATTAGTCTTTGAAACTAATATTATCATTGCATATTCTCTTCCACTTACTTTCAGGAGCTCCATTTGTGAGGTTGTGGGTGGGTGAAACTAATTCCAACTCAAGTGTTATTCCTTTGGCAATCTGGTATAGATATACTTCGGTATGCACCCCAAATGAATGACTAGTCTTTATATTGGTTTTAAAGCATAAAATTTTGGATTTGCATATTTTATCTATTATATCCTATCTTACATTTTTTTTTTTTTTTAATTTTTTTATGAATTGGAATTTTCAATATTTGATGTAGACTAAAGATCATGGTTGTAGCATGTATTTTTATGTTGTTTTTAATGATTTTGATACAAGTGGCAAACTATAAGTTCTTCCTTTTCATTCAAGTTCAGTTTCTGACATCTTTCATAGGGTTAAAAATATGATAGTTTGCTTACCAGATAGGTTTATTTGGGTTCTTGGATTAAGCTTTGGTTCATGTCTAATGTTGATTTGGAAGTCAGGGTTGGCCATGCCTCAAGTCAAAATTTCTGTAACTGTTTGGCCAAAATAATTTTGACTGGAGTTAGGATAAATACTCGTTGATGTAATAATGTGCTCTATTGAGCTGGGAAGAAAGAGCAAGAAAGAGAGGTAATTGTGGCCCGAAGGTGATTGTTGATAAGGCTAGGTCTTAAAAAGCTCTTCATTGACTTGTTACATATATATCTGTTTCCTTTTTTATCCCTCATCTTGTCCCTTGATATGCGTTCTTGTGTCAGCTAGATTACCATGTTTAAGTCTTGCTGTGTACCTTTTATACAATATTGTTGTAATTATATTAAACCCAAGGCTAACAATGCTAAGGGAACACGGATGACAATGGCTACTAGAGCAAATTTTTGGCATGGGTAGATTTGTATAAAGTGGGCAAGGAGTTTTGTTATTTCCTAAGCATATATTGGAATTTAATGGAGGGATTATCCCTGTCCCACACGATAGTATTGAAGTTGATTCTCAAATATTGCTAAATAAAATGTGATACAATGTTATAGAATGCAATTGAAAAGATACAGAAGTTTTGAAGTTCCCTTTGTTGGAGTTATCAATTTTTCTTCAATCTTTTGCTTGACTTTGCTTTTTCTTCTTTTTTGTTTATACATTTTATGTTTGTGTATATAGTTGACAGTGTTCGTCGCATTCTACTGTGCTTATTTTACATGCTTGTTTGTAGTGACGTCAGAAATTACTTCTGATTAAATCTTTTAGTCTTCTTTCAGTCTAGATCTTTTGTAGACAATATGCAATATTTAAGTCCTTTTATTATCAGTATTTTTATTTAGTTATGTTTATCTGATTACTCACTATTTTTATCTATGTTTAACATTTTTAAGAAATATGATCATTTTAATGTCTTATTAGTCTCTCATTGTTTGCTGTAATTTTGATTGATACTTGTGTGAAGGAAGTTGGCATGGAGGCAATCGATGTATATAGTCTTCAATGTAGTTGGGGGAAAGAGCCGATATTGTCACTGGAACCCTCAATGCTAAATGTTCCAATGGAGGAGGTAAACACTAGTATTAGAGAGAGAGATATATATTGCCTTATTGTATTTTGATATGCTGACATTTGCTATTTGCTATTTGCTATTTGCTATTTGCTATTTTCTTTTTTTCTTTTTTTTCTTTTTTTTAATGTCAGGGTTCATGCATTGATGTCAAACTTGCCTCAGACAGGATATGGATATTGAAGGATAGTGGATTGGTAGTTCACAATTTGTTCCATAAGGATGGTCTTGTGTGAGTTTCTAGTTAATCATTATTTGACACACTTTATAATAATTCTAAGATTATCATGTTCAAACTTCATGTAGTACTTTCAGTTTATCCAAATTATGCTACATGAAAAAATGGAAAGAATGCGTTGAAGTATGGCAGGAATATTTTAATTTAGAACTACAGACTTTTGATTAGGAAATTGGATTTTTTTTTCTCCATTGGTCATGACTAAACTTCTAATGTATCATTTTTCTAACTAAATTATTTGTGCGACTTTTGTTGTCAGGGAAGAAGCACACTGTTATGCTTTGCAGGAAGAGTTTGTTGCTGACATGCTTTTTCAAAGTTCTGAACATCCATCTGATGATCTTCTGTCAATTACCCATTCAATAGTTACATCTCCCAAGGTGCATGACTACACTGATGCTTTTGTTGCTTTATAATAAAATTTAGATTCTCCTGTTGGAGTTGTTGGTTTATTTCATTTAGATTAGAAAGGATACAGGGTTTTGCTTTTTTCTTTTTATATATTTCCCTCTTTGTTTTACATACTGAATTATTGACACACTTCTCATATTACTGAAGACACTATGAATTGAATTGAAGGGAAATTCAATTACCCTCCCGTCAGGTTTTCAAATTACTCGTTAATATAGAGAATTACATGGCATTCTAATATTTGCACACAATGAGAAAATATCACTAATTTCCTCCAATTTTCACTTGGCATTCTAGTTTTTATAAATGAAATATGTCACCTAGGATTACTGTTTATGCATGAATGCTTTGCTTAATTACTTTATATTTTCCTTTTCAAGTTGTTTATTCATTTACTTCTCTAAATCCCGTTTCCAGTGATATGGACATTTGCCTAACCAATAATTCCCCTTGCAGCAAGTGTACTTTATTGTATCTATGTTTTATTGTTATTCTATTTCCTGATCATCGTCATCATTTTGGAAGTTCTAAATTCAAAAGTCATGTTGCTTACCGTGCATTTTAATTTTTGCAGGATTACGTTGTTCTGTTTTTATCTTCTATTTTCATACGCAGGCTGCTTCATCCTGGGGTTCATCATAATATGGTTTTACGTGCAACTTTGCTGGATTATAATAGGCACTGGACTGATTCTGAGTTTCAGTCTTTAACTGTCGATGGACTTAAAAAGGAGATCATTTCACTTGTTGAACATGAGGTTTTTCGTTTGGCTTTATTATTGTAGTTTTTATTGTTTAACTTCTGTCTTAGTCCCACTGTTTTGGAGTTTAGTTTTATCTTCGTTCAAAGGGGTTTAGGAGGGTTGTTCTGCTTGTTTGCTTACTAATGTAGTGTATGTTTTGTGCTAGGGCATTGCTGAAAATCCTCTGTCCATATTTTATGGCTGGAAGAATTTCTGTTCTCGTTATTTCCATCACTGGTGCAAGATCAATGAGCCATATGGTTTGTTTGTTCACCCTTCAACAGGTGCTGTTGGTTTACTCCGAAAGAATTCAGTATCTGTGTTTCGTGATCTAGAAAAAATTGAGCTGCTTATTGATGGTATGTTAGAGATTCATGCTTTTTAAATGAAGTAGAATGAAGAAGTTTGTTCTTATTTGCTTCTAGCAATTTTTTTTCTGTTATTCTTTATGCTCTCTCTCTCTCACACTCCCTTGGTTGTATTATTTCTGTTCTCTGATTGATTGTTGTTTTTAATGACACTTTGATGTTTCCATATTCTTCTAGGTTCTTCTGATGAATTTGATGATCAGCCAACAAGTTTTGGGTTGGAGTTTTCGGATGATGGTTCTGAACGTGAGATTCTTTTCGAAGTGCTTAGATGTATTACTAGCATCAGCCAACAATTGGGGAAAACAGCTTCTGCAATATTTTATGAATCACTTGTGGGCACATCAATTATCTCAGCTGAAGAAATTGTTCCTCGCTTACTGAAAATTCTAGAAACAGGATATGGTTCATCAGTAACGGCACTCAATATATCAGATCTTGGAGCTGATGTTGCTAGAGAGAAGGAGCTTGTAGATCACAAAAATCTTAGGAAATTTTCTGTCGACATGCTACTGTCTCTTCATGCTGTGGGCAAAAAGGCTGCATCTTGGGATAGAGTCCTAAATGTCATCGAGAGCTATCTGCAGTTTCTTGTACCTTGCAAAATCATACAAAATTTTGACTCTGAAATAGTTTTGAATATCAATACTTTCATTTTAGTCCAGGCAACTTCTCAAATTGCGAAGGTGATGTTTGAGTCTACATTAGATGTTCTTCTGTTTGTAAGCTATTTGGTGAACATCAGTGGCCAGGTCAGATTCTCCCATTGTCTTATACTTCAATTTCAATGTTGCACTTTACTTCATAGAATAACTATAGTGTCTGCTCTGTGTCCATATTTTTGAAGAACTTTCTTGTACTTCCTCTTATATTGATATCATGTTTGTAGCATCTATAATGTTTGCATAGTTTTTAGGGTTAAATCATAGACCCCTGAGGTTTGATGTAATGACAAAAATCCCCTTGAGGTTTCTGAAATCCTCAAGGTTAGTGAATTGTTAGTGAGCCATTAGATCATACAGTTATATGAGTTAATGAATATTTACCAAATTATCCTCCTACTTTTTATTTTAAACCTAAAACTTAATGGTAGGGGGATTTCTATTATTTCAGTAACCATAGGGGGATTTTTGTTATTAAATCAAACCTCAGGGGAATTATTGTCATTAACTCTATTTTTTTTTTATTGTGTGCATTCTCATTGTGTTTCCTATTAAGGATTCTATATCTGTAGTATCATAAACAACTTATTGTTTATCAGGAATTGACTATTAAAGAATTCATTTTATTTTTTTGTGAAAGGATAAAATTGCCATTTTTTTTCTTTTTTTTTTACTTGAAGTTGTTAAGAGAATTTGTCGGAAGTCTTGAACTATCTATGGTGCTCCTATCCTTAATTATTTGAACAAGAATGCTTTTGCATTTCTATTATTTACTTTTTCCATTGTAAATGAACTTTTCTACTGTAGAGCTGAGCTTTTGATCTAAATTGAAAAATTAACAATTGAGGCTCCGTTTGGTTCACTTTTTTACACTTTTTAAAAAAGTTTTTTGAAAAAAGTTAAAAAAAGTTGAATTGGGTGGGTATTACGATGTAGGATTTGGAAATTAATAAAAAAGCCCCCTATGTTTGTTTATTTACTAAACACCCCTATAATAAAACATTAAAAGTTAACAAAAACATCCCTAACTCACCCATTAAATACGGACAGCCGGCCACCACCGCCGGCGGGTGGCCGGAGTATCGGCGCATGACCGGCTGGTTCTTGTCGGTTGTGCGCCGATATGGCCTTTTCCGGCCAGATCCATGGTGGATCTGGCCTGCAAATGCCAGATCTTCGGTTAGATCTGGCCATTGAAGGCTAGATCTGGCTGTATTTGCTCGTCAACGACGGCGAAAGATACGGCGTCGTTGATGGTCAACGACGACCATGTGTTGGCCGTCGTTGACGACTGGCTACGGCCTTAGATCTAGCTGTCAACAGCCAGATCTTTGGCCTTAGATCTGGCATTTTTCGATGGATCTAGCCAGAAAAGACTAGATCGGCGTACTATCGGCCAGATTCAGTCGGTAGTGCGCCATTATACTAGATTCTGGCCATCTTCCGACGGTGGTGGCCGGAATTTGGTAAATGTGGGTTGCTGGGGTTTTTTTGCAATTTCTAAAAAAATATTTAGGGGTATTTAATTAAATTAACAAATTTAGGGGGTTTAAAAAAATTTGAATAATACTAAATAATATTGTGAGTTTTTACAATTTTACTATTTAACTTTATTGGGAATACTATTATTAGTATTCTCAAATGTGAGCCAAACGAAGCTTGAAAGATCCAAGATATGCTTCTTTTAACATCATCTATTTGTCTTTTTGTAAATGTTTCCCTTGTGTGTTTGTTAATAATTTGCTTTGTAATTTGTTTGGTTGCATTTATTAAAATTCTATATGTAAGTTCTTGGTCTTTGCTTGCAGATTAGTATGTTGCATGATGACATAGCAAGAATACAACTTGAGTTGATTCCGATGATTCAAGAAATTGTTACTGAGTGGCTTATCATTCTCTTTTTTGGCACCACACCTTCTGAATCACCTGCAATAGAAGATTTCAGCTCTCAACTTTCATCATTACAAATTGGTAAGTTTTGTTGAGGTAATAAATAATTTTCATCTATAAACCAAAAGAAAATCAATTTCCTACTCTAAATTGATGGGTTGACGGATAGTTTTATTCAAACGAAATTACAATAAAAGTTGCATTCTCTTATCTGATTTTGATTAGTATCTTATATGTCCAGGTAAGTTTTGTTGAAATATTATATCTAATTGCTATTATAAACGAAAAGAAAATCAACTTCTTGGAAATTGATGAGTTGACAAATATTTTTGCCTGAATGACAATTCAGTTAAGTTCAAAATTGTATAATTTGATTTTTGATTAATATTCTGTATTTACAGCCAATATGATTCGAACTCTAAGGGCTTTGGGGCTTAAAATTGAAATCCTTGTAAATTAATTGACACAAAAGAAAATACATGTACTCTTCGAATAAATTTCCTTGAACTTTTTTTTTGTCCCAAGGAAACAAAGAAAACATATTAGAACATAAAAGTATACAAGAACGGACAAGTTGTTAACAAAAAAGGACAAGCGGTCTCAAGGACCCAAAAGCTCTGAAAAATATACAAGATGGGTAACATAGGTCTCATTCTTAAACCATAGAAAACCTTACTCAAGATCTACACTAAAATCTTTTCCACCTACATAGTTGAAGCTTCTCAGTTGTGTTGAATAATGAAGAAAGGAAGTTCCCGAAACTTTAAAAGTAATGAAAACTCAAAAATTTTCTTTATCGCAAGTGCTTGTTCTCAACTCAATTCAACTGATCTCCCCAAACTCTCATTCTCTAACTAGTGGGGAGCCTGGGGACCAGCTCGTGAGTATATTCCATCCTGTCTGATCCAAGTTCACCTCTTTATTAGTTGTTTAGAATGAAATCTCCTTTTAATAGTTGAATCAACAGAATTTTTGGTCTACATTCTGCCATTTCTTTTTCTTCAGTTGGATGAAATCAATCTTTTCTAATAGTATTTTCACACTATTTATGAAATTGGTAATTCTGTAAATAGTGTACTTAGTTCTTCTTGGTTATTGTTGGAATAACTAAACTGCATATTTACAGAAAAATTTAAAGTTAAATGTCACTTGAAAGATCCATGTTACTTTAGCGTTAGAACAATAAATTTACTATTTAGCCTATTCTATGATAACATGCTTGACAACATGGGAGCTGAAGTAAATAGTCTGCCATTAGTGCGTTTACTGAATAGATCATTTTTTCTGATGTAATATTGACTTGATAATCATCCTAATATCTGTCAATTTTCTAGATAGCAACATTGGGAAAAGATCATGGAATGAGAAGCTTGGCAAATGCGATTTCACCTTAGCTTTTATACTTTTACTAAATAATCAAAGTTCCTTGGGAGATCCTAGCTGCATCTTACCAAGATGTCTCCCTAATCCACAAGAAGTTACTGGTTCAGTTCGGGGCTTTACTAGCTGGATCATTTGGGGCAAAACTGGGGAGGAATCTTCTTCTTTCTTGCGGCATTCAACTCAGCTTGCACTGATCCTGCTTAAGCATGGCCAGTATGATGCTGTTCAGGTTATTCCTGTGCCTTTCTTTTTCTGCATTAAAATTCGTTTGGAGAAAAGTTTACATAGACATATAAACACACAGATGTACATATATTTTTTTAGAATTTTTGCTGAACTATTTCTTTTTCCTGGCCACTTTTTCAGTACCTACTTACCCTTGTGGAGTCAAATTCGCAAAAGGAGAAAATATTTAGAAGTATCCAAGATACTGGTGGTGATTGGTCTCTTCTTCAACATCTTTTGGGATGTTGCCTTCTGGCACAAGCACAATGTGGATTACCTGGAATTCTTAAAGAGAAGAAAGTCACTGAAGCTGTTCGTTGTTTCTTCAGGTATTTAATATCTTTATAAATATCGTAATTACTTGCTATAATCTTCGTGTTCTACTGTGTAACCTACGAAATCAGCTCCAGAGGGGGCACTGGAATCTGACTTGTCTGGCAAATTGAGAAAAAAGATAATGTAAAATTTTCACTTCGTTTTATTTCATATTTCAGAATTTTGTTTCTAATGGTTCAAAAGTTCATCAGCAGACAGGCTTCAGTTTTTGAGAATGAGAAAAGCTACTGAACCTGTTGGACATGTGTTAATGAGAGCTGTTTGGGAGCTTGTACTTGTTTTGATGCAAAGTTCCATTAAATGATGATAGATTGAGAGCATTGGGCTGTATGTTTGCCCAAAATATTATACTAATTTTAGTTAAATTTGTTTAGTTTATTGGATTTTTGACTATTATCTTAGAGATCTTTTTCAAAACTTAATACCTCTCTGTATGATTGAGGCTATGTGCTCATCTCAGTAATTGGATTTTCATATTTTTGGACCATGTCGAGACTTCTTGCTTTTGGCATAAAGCAGATTTGGCTTGTATGTTTAATAATTTACTTCTTTTCAAATTCTTTTGCAGTGTAAAACATAATGTGAGTTCTTTATAATAGGTAGCAAAATCAGCTCTAAAATCATATTTTCTTAATAAACATTATTTTTTCAATAGATAATTACTGTTTTTCTTTCTCAAATTGATTATTATATTTGGCTTATGCTTATTTGCTTAAATGCCTATAGCGTGGTTTTTGATTGGCATTTAAACTACTTACTGCAGAGCTTCATCTGGACAAGGAGCTTGTGAGGCTTTGCAAAGTTTATCTTACAAAACAGGGTTGCCACATCTTGGTTTAAGTAAGTTGATTCAAGAAAATTCTAATAATTCCACACAAAGCAATGATTCTTTAATTTTTTGAACTAATGGGTGATATAATTTTTTCATTAATTTAAATCTTTATTTTTCAACCCAGATGGTTGTTTGTCATCTGCTGCATGGAAGCTTCATTACTATCAATGGGCAATGCAGATATTTGAGCAATATAATAGTAGTGAAGGTTCTTGCCAGTTTGCTCTTGCTGCACTTGAGCAAGTTGATGAAGCTGTTGGTCCAGAAGATGATTGTTATGGTGGAAATCCACAAAATGAATCAGCCACTACTATCAAAGGGCGACTTTGGGCGAATGTCTTCAAATTTACTTTAGATCTTAATCTTTTACATGATGCATACTGTGCAATAATTTCAAATCCTGATGAGGAGAGCAAATACATCTGCCTGAGACGTTTTGTTATAGTTCTCTACGAGCGCAAAGCAACAAAGGTTCTGTACCAAATCATAATTCTTCCTTTTGTTCTTCATTGTTTGTTACTGGTATCGTTATTAATTTTTGCCTTTAGAAAGGAATGAAAACAGATTATATTCTTAAACTGGAGTTTGGGTAATGTAATTTAGGAACATGAACCACTTTATAACTTGACCTCCATGGGGTGATGAACATATTCTCTCCAATTATACTTCTGTTTTCAAATTAGGAATCAAGTATATGCCAAACACTGGAGTTAACGGGGACTGAAAAAGCCATAAATGTTAGCAGGGAATCACCATCAATTTCTTGTTATTATGTCATTTTCACTTTCCAAGTTTACAGTTCTTGTCTAGTGTTACACATGTAATTATTTTTGTTTACCAAAGTAAATAGAGTTGTATTATTTTATGTGATGTGTGGGAGAACCTGCTCAAAGTTTATTGCGAGTGTCTATAGAGTTCCTCATTTTTATTCCTAGGAAACAAACTTTTTAATCAATATTTTAATTATTTGGGGACTTTCATATATGTTTACTACAGTTTCTTTGTGATGGTCAACTACCCTTCATTGGTTTAGCAGAGAAGATTGAACGAGAGCTTGCCTGGAAGGTATGTCCTAGCTGCAAAGAAGAAAATCAAGTTTCCTTGCTTCTGCATTCTCAATAGTTTCTTGCTTACTGTTTATCTTTGACATATTTGCACTAATCAGGCAGAACGTTCAGATGTCTTGGCGAGACCAAACCCATATAAGTTGCTTTATGCATTTGAAATGCAAAGGCATAACTGGAGAAGGGCAGCTACTTACATATACCTGTATTCTGCTCGTTTGAGAAATGGACCACTTCCAAAAGATCACCAGCAGATTTTATTGGTGCTTCAAGAGAGGCTGAATGGGCTTTCTGCAGCTATCAATGCCCTGCATCTTGTTCATCCTACATATGCTTGGATTGATCCTTTGCTTGGGCAAACTTCTTTTCAAAATGAGAATTATCCTAGTAAAAAGGCTAAAAAGATGGTAAAAGAACAATGTAAGTAGTCAACCAAGAAATTTGGTTTTTATGTTTGCTATTTTTCTAGGTTTTGTGTGTGTTTGGGATTGCTGTAACTTATGAAATAAATAAACAACTCAAAAGTGTTGGGTAATTATCTTACAAAAGTGATTATGCTATAAGCTGATTTTTTATTAAGGATTTTCAAAATCATTTAGGAGTAGGATTTCAAGATCAGCCTATATCGTGGTCTGATAAAATTATAAATCTAAAGGTATCCNGCTTAAATGCCTATAGCGTGGTTTTTGATTGGCATTTAAACTACTTACTGCAGAGCTTCATCTGGACAAGGAGCTTGTGAGGCTTTGCAAAGTTTATCTCACAAAACAGGGTTGCCACATCTTGGTTTAAGTAAGTTGATTCAAGAAAATTCTAATAATTCCACACAAAGCAACAATTCTTTGATCTTTTGAACTAATGGCTGATATAATTTTTTCATTAATTTAAATCTTTATTTTTCAACCCAGATGGTTGTTTGTCATCTGCTGCATGGAAGCTTCATTACTATCAATGGGCAATGCAGATATTTGAGCAATATAATAGTAGTGAAGGTTCTTGCCAGTTTGCTCTTGCTGCACTTGAGCAAGTTGATGAAGCTGTTGGTCCAGAAGATGATTGTTATGGTGGAAATCCACAAAATGAATCAGCCACTACTATCAAAGGGCGACTTTGGGCGAATGTCTTCAAATTTACTTTAGATCTTAATCTTTTACATGATGCATACTGTGCAATAATTTCAAATCCTGATGAGGAGAGCAAATACATCTGCCTGAGACGTTTTGTTATAGTTCTCTACGAGCGCAAAGCAACAAAGGTTCTGTACCAAATCATAATTCTTCCTTTTGTTCTTCATTGTTTGTTACTGGTATCGTTATTAATTTTTGCCTTTAGAAAGGAATGAAAACAGATTATATTCTTAAACTGGAGTTTGGGTAATGTAATTTAGGAACATGAACCACTTTATAACTTGACCTCCATGGGGTGATGAACATATTCTCTCCAATTATACTTCTGTTTTCAAATTAGGAATCAAGTATATGCCAAACACTGGAGTTAACGGGGACTGAAAAAGCCATAAATGTTAGCAGGGAATCACCATCAATTTCTTGTTATTATGTCATTTTCACTTTCCAAGTTTACAGTTCTTGTCTAGTGTTACACATGTAATTATTTTTGTTTACCAAAGTAAATAGAGTTGTATTATTTTATGTGATGTGTGGGAGAACCTGCTCAAAGTTTATTGCGAGTGTCTATAGAGTTCCTCATTTTTATTCCTAGGAAACAAACTTTTTAATCAATATTTTAATTATTTGGGGACTTTCATATATGTTTACTACAGTTTCTTTGTGATGGTCAACTACCCTTCATTGGTTTAGCAGAGAAGATTGAACGAGAGCTTGCCTGGAAGGTATGTCCTAGCTGCAAAGAAGAAAATCAAGTTTCCTTGCTTCTGCATTCTCAATAGTTTCTTGCTTACTGTTTATCTTTGACATATTTGCACTAATCAGGCAGAACGTTCAGATGTCTTGGCGAGACCAAACCCATATAAGTTGCTTTATGCATTTGAAATTCAAAGGCATAACTGGAGAAGGGCAGCTAGTTACATATACCTGTATTCTGCTCGTTTGAGAAATGGACCACTTCCAAAAGATCACCAGCAGATTTTATTGGTGCTTCAAGAGAGGCTGAATGGGCTCTCTGCAGCTATCAATGCCCTGCATCTTGTTCATCCTACATATGCTTGGATTGATCCTTTGCTTGGGCAAACTTCTTTTCAAAATGGGAATTATCCTAGTAAAAAGGCTAAAAAGATGGTAAAAGAACAATGTAAGTAGTCAACCAAGAAATTTGGTTTTTATGTTTGCTATTTTACTAGGTTTTGTGCGTGTTTGGGATTGCTGTAACTTATGAAATAAATAAACAACTCAAAAGTGTTGGGTAATTATCTTACAAAAGTGATTATGCTATAAGCTGATTTTTTATTAAGGATTTTCAAAATCATTTAGGAGTAGGATTTCAAGATCAGCCTATATCATGGTCTGATAAAATTATAAATCTAAAGGTATCCTAATAAAATAATATATATTGCAACATAGTATTATATTAATCATTATCCAAATTAATTACCAATTACAATTACCAAATACATATACGATTTAAAAACACAAGTTTTAATTAAAGTTTATCAAATTTCTTGTACGTTGTCTGTACAGTAGATTATCTTCTATAGCCTGGCTACAGCAGTCTCAAACTGGCTCTTCATATTTGATTTTTCCTTGGTATATGTTTATATTGCAGCCCACTGGTGACTTATTGACTGGATATTTAGTTGATATTTCTTTATGTTTATAAAATGACGGATGTAATATTTAGTTCAAGGAAATAATATGCTTTCTCATTGCAGTGGCTGGCAATGATATTCAACCTCAAAGGCTGCATTCATATATAGATATTCAGAAACTTGAGAAAGAGTTTGTGCTAACTTCGGCTGAATACTTACTCTCAGTGGAAAATGTCAAATGGACATTTAATGGTAATCTTCTTTATGGGGTCCTATATTATTATGATTTAACCGGGTGCATCTACTAGACCTTAAACTCAATGTGTTAGTGTAGTTGTCTCCTATATAACATAGTATTTGGCATGGGTATAGAATGGAATGTCAACAAAGCAGATCAGTACTCATGCCGTGGTATCTGACACATATACTCCCACGGTCTCTAACAATTTGTTAAATTTAATTTCCTTGTTATCTTTGCTTGCTGTGGGGAAATCACGAAATCTATTATTAAAAAAATTGTCGTTATTTTCTTTTTCTCAAGATTTGTTCTAAGAATTTTTTGAGTATTAGCTTTCCTTTGTTGCTTATCTTTTCTTTTCCATATTAAATAACGTATTATTTATATACTAAATTTCTTCCAGGAATTGACAAAGCCCCATTAGATTTGGTTGATCTGCTGGTCCAGAAAAATTTGTATGATATGGCATTTACAGTTCTTTTAAACTTTTGCAAGGGTTCAAGATTGAAGAGGTATATATATTTTGTTCTTGGGTTGCATAATATATTCCACAGTTAGCATACATGCTTCCTTTCACATTTCAGTAATATTACATTTTTCCTTTTGCTCAGTGAATTGGAGAGAGTTTTCTCTGCTATGTCATTAAACTGTTGTCCGAGTAAAGCAGGTTCCTCTTATAGCGGGTAAGACAATTCTCATCCGAGCAACTCTGGTTTGCTTTTGTTCATTTACTTTGAACCATGTGTATCTCCTTGTAAATGTATTATACTGTGATTCACTAATCTTAGGAAGGATTTCAGGACTCCCGGTCTCTTGCTTACATCATCAAAAGATGAAGTGGTTGTTCATGGTTCTCCTGATAACATACCAACCACTAAACAACACAAGGCGAATGGTCAATGGGAAACCCTTGAGCTCTATCTTGTCAGTATTATTTGCATGCTTTAATTTTTTGGCTTCCTTTTTTCTTTTTGCTACTCTTAACTAAGTTAATATATATTTCTGCCTGCGGCACTTCAACTTGAATACCTAATACTGTATATTAACTATGTCTAGATGAAGACAGTAGTATGAAAATAATTCTAGCAGAAGTAGCTTAACTAACATATATTATTATTATGTTTTTTCACTCAACATTTCCCTCTAATGTCTCTTTTTTTCCTTTCTCTCTTAGTCCTGAACTTACACAATTTAGTTCAGATGGGGCTAAGCTAGTCTAGAGATTTATTTTGTTTTCTAATACGGCTAATTGGTAAAACTCTTGGGAATTAAATTTGATATTGAGAGTTCTTTAAGTACTTAGTGGTACATTTACTTGCACCTCATGCTGTTTCTACATATGATTGGAAGGAAGTTGATAGGGATTGCAAGTGCTGATTTTGTGTTGAAACTGAATACTGATGGGACAACGCTAACTTTTGGGCTTCTACGTCACATAAATTTTTTATGTGCCTTGTATTCTTAACAATTGGGAGGCTGAAGTGATGTGATTAACGGAGTGTTTTCCTTTTTATTTATTTATTTATTTATTTTTGGATTTGAGGACCTTTTTTATGTCCTGTATCTTTAGTTAGTTTTTGTTTTTGGGCTATCTTTACTCATACATGTATAGATATACTGTGGACAGCTTGTTCACTTCTTTGTAATACTCTTGTCAATTTATAATGTTTTCTTGAGTTTCTTTTAAAAAAAAAAAACATTTTTGCTCCGTCAAATCTCCCCTGACGGAATATTTCATAATTGCAGGAAAAATATAAAGATTTCCATGCTGGATTACCAGTAGTTGTTGCTGAGACACTTCTTCGCATGGATTCAGAGATTGAGTTGCCTCTATGGTTGGTTCATATGTTCAAGGTGATTTTTCTTGCTAGACGATGGACATCTTGTTTTTATCGACTGTGTGATGAATCCAGAAGGGACAAACATATACTGATCCTTTTATTAGTTTTTTTATTGATATATTCATCAACCTAGTATTATTCTTGAGGGCCCTTCTTGCGTTGGCAAGCTTGATTAAGTGACTCTAGTTTACTCTATATGATTCTAGCTGTCCAAGATGTTTATGATGATCCGTTTCATCAAGCTCTTCCCTTTCCACAATTAATTCTCTTTTATAAGTCCATTGTCTTTCACTAGAGCTGCATAGTTTCTCATCATTGTAGTATGATGATATGTCATGCCAAAATCTATTTGTGTTTCCATTGGTTTGACAGGATGGTCAAAGAGATAGGACCAAGGGTATGACTGGCCAAGAATCAAGTCCTGCATCCTTGTTTCGACTATATGTTGATTATGGTCGATATACAGAGGCAACAAATTTGCTGCTGGAGTACATAGAGTCATTTGCGTCAATGGTAAGTTTCTATCTTCCCTGGCTATCTTATCTTGCATACTAGACCAGCCAATATCCCTGTTTGTATGTTTGTTTTAACCAGGACTATCATTGAACTCTTAAAATTGTGAAAATTTATGCTACTATACAACTGATTTTGGACATGGTTTGGATGCAAATTTGCTCTCCCCATGTTGTGAGAAAAGCAATTGTGTGAGCCTTTTAAATCTTTGTCCGAAGAGAGAACTTTTGATAACTTGTGCTTTTAGCTGTGCAATGCCTAAGCATCATCAATATTGGCTTTTTTTTAATCACACTTGTACATAATTTTATGTATATCTCTGAATTCTAATTTAAGCAATCCTTGTCCCATCTTTAGTAATGGAACCGTAGTAGATACTGGATAAGTCTTCTCGGTCATCTTAAAGGCATTGATTAAGTGTCCAAATTATTGGATGGGGATCATCGTTCATCCCTAATTTGATTTCGGGGGCAGGGATTGATGTCTTTGGCCTGGCTGGGGCGAATCCCTAAAACCCATAAAACTTGAATAAAATTTAATATTTTCTTAAAAAAGAAAATTACAAAGTCTAACTATACCTAATTTATTTGTTTTTGCTCTAGATATTATGTTCATCTACAAGTGTTTTTTAATGATATTCCAATGGTTGAGTACTAAAGAATGCTGCCGTTGTAAAACTTTTGCAGAGACCAGCTGACATTATTAATAGGAAAAGACCATTTGCTGTTTGGTTCCCATACACAACAATAGAGCGTCTATGGTGCCAACTCGAGGATATGACCAGGTTGGGTCACATGGTTGATCAGTGTGAAAAGCTAAGAAGGATACTACATGGAGCTTTGCTGAAACATCTCAAGCTGGTATGTTGTATTGTAGATTAATAACACATTTTTTGCAATCAAATTTAATCCCACAAGTTTCTGACATGCCCATTCGATCTTATTCATGATTTCAGCAAAAGGTGGACTCGGACGACGCAATTTTTTCTGCATCCGGTTAAAAGAAATGTCAACAAGTAGATTTGACAAAGCAATCAGTTTCAGTAGTGAGGCATGTTTATATATGTAATATTTGTTATTTGCAGTTGCTGTAAATTGTCTGAGCGAATTCAAGAATTATTTAGTTATTGCATAGATATGATTGCTGATTGGAGGGTGGTAAAGACTAAAGATGGCTAGCTAATAGATGCTTTGGCCATCACAAAGACAAAGATCATGAGCCTTAGGTTGACTGCAGAGTTCATCGAAGTTGTACAGTTGGAGGTCTTTTATTTTTGTCTGTGTATCATGTTTCATGAACATTAACTCCCTAAAGTGTTTACTGTTGCTCGAATTTTGTACTAGATGTATGACTTTGGCATGCAAGATCCAAGTATCTAAACACTAATTACATGGAAAAATATCTTGATATGATTGATCAACATTTGATTTTATAACATTGGAGGGGAAATGGCTTAGAAATAGAGAGGGAGTAGGCCGAGTGTATTAGGAAGACTCAGGAATTTGCAACATCTTGTATGGGGCACTTTGTATAGCTCTTTGTAAGTGTAGTATTTCTCTATATTGTATAAGGCCCGATAAAAAGGATTTTGAAGACTAGGTTTTTGATGTTTGCATCAATGTTTTAAAACCCAACCCGAGGTGAAACTCGACAAAGTTGTCGGATCTCAGGTTGACCGGTTTAATTGGTGGTCAAATTGGGTGACAAAAAATTTAAAATTTTGCAAATACACCCTTAAAAGTTTGTCCAGTCTTTACATGTTTCAAATTTAGCGAACACATTCCAAATACAAATCAGTAGTCGACTAGTTGGCGACAGCGATATCTCAAATGCAATTTCAATCATCCCTTAAGCTCATTCCCTAGAAAATTTAGTCAAGATCTGACTGATATCGGTTCGATTTCGGTTAGATCTCACTGATGTTGACGTCGACATTCTATATTAGATTTCACTGATGTTGACGTCGACAAACCTCCCCATCACTCTGAAAATAGTCCCCCCTGCCTCTTGACTAAAACCCACCTCTCCCTATTGAGCCTATCCTCGTTAGCCTCGTCAATCATTGGCAAAAGTTGGTCGATTCATTTATCAGAAATCAACTTCGTTGTCACCATCACACTCATAGACACTTTTTCTTTAGAAGCTCTAATATCTCAACGTTCAATTATTCGTCGATCATTATCCCAATTTTTAATGTTTTTGATGAATAGTGAAACGGATAATTCGGTCCAGAGAAAGTCTCGGGTCCCGGTTGAACCGATTCAACTGGCCGAACCGGGTTTTAAAACAATGTTCAGCATTATCAATTGACATTTATTCACTACTATTGCAAGAAGTATGTGCACTTGTGCAGTATTCGAATTCTATTAACTATGTTGATGAGTGTCAAATAATGCTGGCTACTGAAACGATATAATATTAATATTGGTCGAAATATATGTTGCATTAGACTAAGCATATATATATATTGGGATGAAATATTATCAATTACGGTATAAATTCTTCAAACTTTATTAATGAGAAAATAGAAGTTATAAATTGTTCAATTAAGGGACAATGAACATTTACTTAAGGTTAGACTTATTATTATAATTTTTTAAATAATTGAGGTATTCGGGCACCATTGTTAATTGAGCCTGCCTAATTTTCAAGGTTACAGAACATTCTACAAATCCAATGGATCAAGATAATTGTACAAATATGATAAGTATTTTTCTCGCGACTTAAACACAAGATCCTACATAAGACCCTTGGATATATCTAACTCCAGTAGTTAAAGAACTCGCCACCCGACCACAAGGGAAGATGTTAGATTTAATTTAAATAAGGGTAAAGACGTAATTGAATTCTTTTTTACAAAATAAATAATGAAAAACTAAAAATCATCAAATTAAAAAACTAACAAAAGTTATATATGATCACTTTTTACAAAATAAATAATAATTAGATTTTTTAATTTTATTAAATTTTCTTGACAAATTATATTAAAAAGCACTGTTTTGAAGTTTGAGTTGAAAACTAGTCTGGTTAGAAGGGGAATTATGAAGTTGAAGAACAAATTCTCCAAGCTTAGAGAAGCTTCACATGGAGGGCTTAAATGGGATGAAGTGTTAAACTTAACACTTTTTGCCATTAACATAGCATTTCTTGCAGCAGTTTATATGAACAGAAGAAACTCTCAGGGGGTTTTTTGATACTTTTGGAAACTTATGGATCCAAATGTACATTTATCCTATATTTGGGGCTACATGTAATTAACAGACATGTTAAAACCACCGGCAGAATTAACTATATCGTACCAGTAACTGTTAGATATAATCTCAAAACGCGCCATGCCGCCGCCGGCGCTACCGGCCGGCAAGAGTCTTCTGGCCGATTGGAAGTCGCCGGTAATCGGCGGCGACCACCACCACCACTGTCGTTTACGCAGTAGAAGAACCGCTTCACAAGTTGTAGTCTCGTCTCTCCCCCAACGTCCTCTCAGGTCATCTTTCTAATACTTTTAAATTATTTTTTATTTATTTTAATTAAAGACAGATAATTTCAATTATAATAATTAAATGCAGATACGCCGTGCTCGGTGCTGGCTTTGCTGGTCTCTCAGTTGCTTGGCATTTGTTGAAAGTACTCTTTTATTTTTATTTGTTTTTATTTATTTTTAAGTAAATCACATAAAGGGCACTAAAAGGTATAAATTTTGATTAGATTAATGTATTATATCTACCCAAACACAAAAAAAAGATAGATTTTGCAATGTATGGATTTATTAATAAAAAATTTGCCTTTTGCTGGCTTTGAAGGTGTTGTTGAAGTTGAATTTGGTTTCATTGAATGTGCAGGAGAGTGCTAAGGAGTTGGATGTATACATTGATATATATGATGAGATTGGCATTGGAGGTGGTGCTTCTGGAGTATCTGGAGGACTCCTTCATCCTTATTCTCCTAAAGGTTTTCATTGAATAATCTTCTTTAGATGTATGCTACTTTTGTTGTTTTGATACGGGTCCGTTTTGTACGGTTTATTAACTAAGTTCCGGAAGATGGTTCTGTGTTATTGAAGGTAAAGATATCGGGAATGTTTTGATCACATGAGAAAATGCTTGTTTTAATTTCTGAAATAACATGTTTTTTTCTTATTGACTTCATTTTAAAATTGACAATAAATTTAAATACTAGAAAGTTTTTTTTGGTTGGTAGATAAGTTGTAGAAAACTTCGTACTGTGTTTGTTTTACGTTCTTTACCAGTTCTGTCTAGCCTAGATGGTTTTTGGTAACTATGTGAATGTTGTTTGAGAAGTTGAGATTTTTTTTTTCCTTTGGAATTACATGTTGTAATTTTTGCAGCTAAGCTTCTTTGGCGGGGTGCTGAATGTTGGAAAGAAAGTTTAAAGCTTTTAAGCATTGCAGAAGCAGCAATTTGTTCAGGAGAATCGAATTCTGAAATGGTGGAATCTGGTCCAAATTTGGGTGAATTTGTAGTAAGGAGAAGGTTTGTCTCCTTTTCAGTCAAGTTTCTCTTTCATTTCATGCTAAATTTTCTTTCTAGATCTTGATATTCCTTCTCAAACAAGTGTGGTATAAAAAATACGCACTCCAGGGTGCAATTAATGTTGTTGTCGAATCAGATTCCTTTTATGTTCACTTTGTTGTTTATACACAGGGGACTTGGAAATTCATTTAGATTCCTATTTTTTTGGATATAAGCTGAAATCTTATTCTCTGCATCAATTAGCTCTTACATATTCCATTGCTTTCATTTTCATTTAGGGGCATATTGAGGCCTGCAACCAATATGAAGACCTTGACTACATTGAATGATGTAATTTTTCTCATTCTCCTGAATGGAACTTGGATATATTTGTGATTGATAAATGATTTTCTGGTAATATTGATGTTTCTGGCTTATGTCATTAGAATGCTCAGAACTGCCTTTCCAGTTGCAGAATAGAGACTATTGGTAAGGATGCTGCCCGAAGTCTTGTTCCAAATTTATGTGTTCCTTTGAACACAGCCTTTTATATGCCTGATGCTGTCAATGTTCATCCTCAGCGCTATCTTCAGGTGTGAAGAATTAAGACACTGACCTTTTTACTTTGAGTTTTTGATGAGAACACCAGTCCAAACAATAATAAACTGTAATATAAACTCAGAAACACACTCTGTCACTGATTTTTATATATATAGAGGATTAAAATAAATGAACTCTGCAAGCAGCAGGTGATAACAACAATGGCAAAAATGATAACAACGCGATAACAAAGATAAAAAGATCGCTAGCACTTCGAGGGTCTAGCACCTCCCAATATTTCCCTGGGTTTTTTCCTACCCTACAGCTAGCTACTGCTCTCTTTATATATAACCGAATTCACACTTTCCACACTCCCTTACGTGGAGATACCCCTTAACTAATTCTAATCTGAATTCCCCTTGCTGCCCTTGTCCACTGAAATGACCAGGTTGCCCTTTTTCTTCTTCTTTTTGTACACTTTGGTTATAGGAGGTGTATCAGTTTTCATTTGCTTTTTGTAAATTTTCTTTGTTTTGTGGTTATCTACTAGGGGCTCTTCTTAGCATGTAAAAATCTAGTGAAGGAATTGTCTACTTCTGGTTTTGGAAGGAAAGAGTTGTGTCTCCATAAAAAATCTATCAGCAATCTCCTTGAATTAGAAGGTAATCTCTCATTCTGTTGATTAAGCTTCTTTTTTTTTTTTTCTCTCTGTATATTACAAACGGTGATTAAAACTGCTGGACAGATTTTCATGTTTTAGGATTCCCAGGTACTGCCCATCTAGTTTGTATGCAACAATCTTATGATATACTTAAGTTTCTTATGTATAGACAGGCAGGCAGTTGTCATTTTTCTATATGCTTAATTGTGTTTAGCTCATGTCATGGGTGTTTTCCAGAGTTGTGAAGCATATATTTCATGCTCCAAACATAGTATACTTAATGAAGACATTTTCTTTTGTAGAACTCTGATCTCTGCTTTATGTGTTTAGGGGAATATGATGCGGTGATCATATGCATGGGTGCCAAAGCAGACGTACTGCCAGAGCTCTCCGGGAAGCTTCCTTTGAGAACATGCCGAGGAGTCATTGCTTGCCTACAACCATCTGATGGTATAGGGTAAAGTTACTATATGCTTTATTAT